TTATTTACACAAGAAAACGAGAGTAGAACTGAAAAAAATAAATTCTGTTTAAACATCGTCTATAAAATTGAATGCGCAAACCATAAATACAAGAATTGTGCATGCGCAATGACCTTTATCAGACCACAAAGGTCATTTCACACTTGTACGTACCGGAAATTCTGCATACGAACGCTACCAAGATGTGTGCTTACTTCTTTTCTGATATTTTTCATCACAATAGTTGTCCAACTTTGGACATTAATTAAAAAAATCCTGCAAATTTCCGCAGTGAAATTTAAAGAAAATCACGCCTTTTGTTGTAATAGATTTCGAGCGTTGAGTACACTCAGCGTACGTTTTTTGCTGCATTTTGTATTATTGTTATTTGTTTGGGCATGCGCAGTGCATTGATATTCTTCGTGAAGCTTCCGAATACAGCCGAAACATGCAAGCCGATCAACTGTGACATTGTACAGCGTGTTTGCAAACTAACTACAATGTGTACTGAGTAAACAAATCCAAAGCATCATGAAACCAGCGGAAACAATAGCGTCCTCACTCCTTCTCTTTTCTACCTCCATGCTGTTAGTTATGGAATGAATAGACAATGACATCATTTTTATATATATTTTTGTCATGGTATTGGTAGAACTTGTTTTACTGCATAGCGATATCAATAAAACACTGGATAATTAAACTGGCACATGCACAATGTTGCATGAAGTCGTATTCAACTATTCAAAATACAAACTACGTTTTCTCTTGTCGGGTACGGCCAGACATTGGTCTATCAACCATAGCTGACATCTCTATTTACCTCCATGCATGTAGCATGTGCATGACTCAGAAGCTCACTAGAAAGGATAAAATGAATACAAGCAAGCAACATATGATCGACGTTAAATAAACACCAAAAAATATTACTTACGTGACTGCGCGAAAGCTCGTACAACGTTAGAAAATAGGCAGGCCTTGATAACTACTAAACACAGTACACCGGTGCGTCCGCTTTTTTTAATGACCTTATATTCTACTTCCGGTCAACTCCCTAACTTAGTGTCTACATAAAATATTTCAAATCATAAGGGTGGCTCGTTGTATTCAGAAATACACTATATCTAGTTGTCAGTAATAATAGCAGTATTTATTTACTCACGTTTGAGTATTCTTATTGCTTCAATTTATTAGTACTGCATTTGAAAATGATTAATAAACACCTGAGGAGCCCATTTTAAAGGTTGTCTTACGCATGCGTGCTACGTTTCAGTACATGTGCGTTGCTGTTTTTTTGCTTTTAAGTTTGAGAAATAGTCAGTCATGGAATCGAATGCACCCAGCACGATATACCCCTATATATATGGTTATCTTGTTGAACAGAAACTTGACAAGGCTGCAAAATGGTTCCAACAAGAGACTGGGACAGTAAGTGTTACATTTTACCATCTCGGATCGTGTGTTGCGAAATAGCAATCCAACATGGCGTTGCGGCGTTGGCCTTCGTTGTCGCGAACTGGACGACTTCACTCACGATCAAGAGAGCCTTTTTTGGAATCAGTGCGAATTACAGAGTAATTTCCAGTTGACTGCAATGTCACGAGAACAAAAATATTTTGCCATGTGCTGATATTCTTAATGGCAGGAAAAACAATTTTCTCTCGGCAAAGATCTCTGCCGGGATTCAGATCACATGTGCAGACTTCCCAAATTCCATAACCGATCGTACTACCAGTATGTTGATATTGTCGGAGACTGTAAGGGACTGTAGTCTAAGACGACCAAAATACTTCTTTGTATGCCGTAGTAAAGCGATATGTGGCCAATACTATGGTTAACAGCCATACTGTTTATCAGTTGGCATGGCCCATCCACGCACATGTTGTGCAGCTGTGAACTTGGCAGGATTTCACCATTCAACGATTGGGGGGCGCATGCATGCAAGACAAAAGGACATCTCGGCCCCTAACATACGAGCTTCTGATTACTGGGTTGTCGATTTAATTACACACTGTAATCTGCACATTTGTCAATTTCACTGACATGCCCCCCCCCCCCCCAAGATGACTTTGCACTTGATTCATTCCAAAAGTGGATG